GATTCCACTAACCCAATTTACTGAAACTGTATTTGTTTTCGTTTAGATGTGTCATCTATAACCGTAAAATGTTCGAAAATATTATCTTCATTATAAAATCTGATTTGCTAAATCTACGTTGACTAAGAAATTTGTTTATTGAACAAAGTCATCATTAATATGTACATAACAAGTAAGAAACTGTTATGTCCCGATATGCATAATGAATGGTAACTTTTGGGATCCATTTATGGACCAATACTAAACGTATATTCTTATTGTATAATTGTTAAATAACTAAACTATGCATATTCATATTCTTCTTACCATAATATTTATGTTAACCTATGAACTATTATTATACGTTTCACCATTCTTAAATTATGTCCTGCCTATTAATCACTGCCTCCCTCATTCCCAGCCACTTTTGGCCAAATCTTGTACAAATGTTATTTTATGGTACTTTGTAGTCTGTTTGATTGGTATATAAACCCCATATGCTTGAAATGCAGTGATTCATATCGCAGAGGCTGAGACTTGTGTTATGGACGTAATTGGTTGGGCTAGGCAGGAAGCGGGACCAATAAGGATTCTAGATTGCTCATACGGGTTTACGCGTCATTGATCTGATCGATAAGTCACTGCTCTCTAATTAGCGGTATCGTTACGTTATCCATTAACAGGGCACACAGTACACAAGTCATAACAGAAACGCTTTAATCACATTAAATAGTTGTATAAATAAATAACTAATATCAATTGAATATTTATTTAGAAAATCCATATTAATCTACAGCAGGGTCAAAAATTCAAATTACAATACTTACTGACTCAATATTAAAGTTAATGAAGATAAGTAAATACAATATATAGAATTTATAGGTAGATGTCTTATTTTTTAGAGACAGATTACACTATACCTCTTCGATGATCTAACTACAGAATATGAGAAAGCATTAGATGATCGTCTCATCTTAGAACATTTCATTGATGAGCATCTACGATTCCGACAATGACTGGAACTAAGATATTTAGGTATACTGATGAGTAGAACTACTTTTAGATTTAAAAGAACTCACTTGTCTTTTCTCTAAATAAATAAACTGTCTGTAATGATTTTAGAGAAAAGTTGTTTACTAAGGTTATGAAATGTTATACTCTTTGAAACAATAAAAGAAGTAACCATTACATTTCATTATCCATAAAATTAAAATGATAGAAAAGTTTTTCATTGTATTATTCACTACAATACTTGAATTTTTAACCTTGACATTAATCAGAATTTATATTGAAATGTTTAACATTGAGATATTTGATTCATCTCCAGTCAGTCAGTCAGCTACATGGTAGGACCAGGCACATATATGCATCGGTCCAAATTGCCATACCTCATTAGCACAGTATGATGAACACTGGATTCATAGAAGCAGTTAATTCAATGGTGGTATGACTCATCTAACTAATATAATTACCGGTGTAGGGGTTGTTGAAATTATTAAGTTTTTGATTGAGATCACGATCTCAATCAGTTTACATCCATTACGAGCCGCGAACCATTTTTAAATTGAATAGATTTAAACAAAGGTATTTATTTTGATAGTAATTTTGTTTAACAGTAGATGAATTTAAGATGGTGCGTCGAAGTTATAATTCAACTGTATGAATTGGGAAGTTATTTAACGTGCTGAAAATAAAGCAGTAATTCGTCAGTGACATCGACTAATGACAGAATTCTTGTGATTTGTTCAGGGTAATGGCTCAGTATGGGATATCAGTTATTAGTTCAAGGTTTACTCGTGTGTATGTATCAAGAGAATAGAAGAACGCATTATATATAGTTAAAGAGTATTTTAATTTCAATAGGCGAATTAAATAGTGCAAGTTGGATTTAGCTTGCTAAACCTCTTTATATTCATTTTATTGTCACATATGTAATTGATAAGTTTTAAAATAATAGAGATGCGATTTATGTGAATAAATAAAGAATTCTACTTAAAAATGATTTAGTACAAACCGTAAGTAGATGTTTTTTAAGTCACTACTTGTAAGTAGTATAGAGCAATATCTTGTTTTTTATGCCAAAGATCAACCTCAAAATATGTGTACGAATGTTCCAACCAAAAACCATAGCCGATGTAATCGAATAAATCGTAAGGTGGTAAACCACTTTAAAATAACCGTAAACTCTGATTGATGGGTTTCAACTCAACGGAAATCATCAAGAAAACAAAAAACCTCAGGTTCAATCTCTCATGGGGTTGTAAAGCTACACTAATTATTCACCAACTATGACAAATCTGATGATCACTGTTTATGAACTTATATTCGCTTGCCATTTTCCAACTACCGTTACTCTGAAATCTTCATAAATTACCTGCCCAATTAGTATACAAATCTTAGTATGTGTTTGCACCTTCCCCGTTGTTGAAATTCTGGAATGTAGTTGATTTGTCTTTTTAATATAAGAGGATCATGAAAAGGTTGCCTCAGTATAGCCTTTCTTTTATGTATCCAATATTCCACAGCTGGCCACTATTCAAATAAATTAACATCCTAACCTGTTTATCAATGCTACTAGAACAATGATAGATGAATATATATAAACAAGGATGTCATGTTCTAAATGCATGAATATAAATGAAGTGCTCATTAGAATATCACTAAAATATAGAGATGTTGAGTTACTAAGATGTTCGAACCTTCTTTTTTAAGCAGGTGGTCATGTTTAGAAATTACTGAAAAGAAATATAACATAAATTGACTATAGTCAGGATTATAAATCACTGGATTCTCTTTGATCGGTCTATAAATATCCCCCTCGTCAAAACACCTGAAGGTCCAAGATTCTTTTCCATGACAGTTAATAGTTGACTATAACTGATGAGTCTAAAGCAGAGCCAAAGCCATTTTCCAAGGTTTCCTTATTTTCAATAGTTCTTCAACTAGTCTAGGCTCATTATCTGCAAAATCTTTCAAATCCTTCCAAAAAATTTCGAACCAAGTTCAAGAGCGATTTTTTTATCGTATTGGTTTTCCGTCAATTTGTTGGATAGATTGATGAATGAATGATTTCCAGAATCCTTTCAAAATAAATTATAAATAATTAAAGTTTATATGCTGGAAAATATTAAAGTTTGACTAGAGTGATACTTTTCTAAAACAGTGAACGTGTTTCATTCCAAATGTGAATAACTACAGGAATGGGCAACTGAGAAATGTTCAACAAGTAGAAGAAAATACTTGATTTTGTTTAGATTTCCACAGTTAATCAATCAGTATTGATTAACAATTTATTGATATATCGAAACATGTTAAAATACACCTAATGGATTGTAAATAATAACATGAAAGTCACCCAAACTACAGTTTTAATATTATCATTTTTCTGAATACCCGAATCTCATATAAGTAAAGACACACACTTAACTCATAAACTGACATGTTGTATCACTATAGACTAAACAATAAATGTGTATAATATTTAGCAAAAATATACTTGTTACTATCATAATTAGAAAATTGTTGTTTTCAGTTTGAATCTATTTAAAACAGGTTTGGTATGTATTTTTTTAACATAGTCACATAACACTAACATGTACGCTGATTTAAAAAAAATTCTGAATCAAGCATGAACGAAATGATAATACATGAGAATGTAACTAATTGTTTACTAGACAAACTATTTGTGTGAACACTGTAAAATGCAAAAAGTTAGAACGGTTGAGTGAAATATTACAGCTAAATATCTTATGCACACCGAATGTTCTAAAACGCTGATTAAGCTTACAGTGATTACGTGAAGTAAATGAACGCAAGTTAATGATTATTACACAACCATACAATTCTACTCATATGGTCTATTGCAATGATTTTAATCAACGTCTCTACAAACCTTTTTTGGATAAAATACTGTGGTAACTTCATTTTTCAATCTGTTTAATTTCATTTTTATCTTTGCGACATTATAATGATATTGTGGTTTATGTTACTGATGTCGATAGATATAAGTAGTATGTATCATCAACCGAAAGTCAAATGCCTGGAGGCAGAAATTTAAGAAGATCGAAGAAAAAAGAACGAGACAAGAGAATGATTAGCGTGAAAACGAAGGGACAATAAAGTCAGATTTTACTAAGACATTCTGCAATGTTGTCCTCAATTGTGTTCTCGTTCACTACGATATAACTTTAAATTAACTTCTGAATAAATCTATTTACATAAGCCTGTAAAATTTCATTTGTAACTTTTAATGCTAAAATATTACATGTTCTGAGCAACTGATGACAACCAAATCGTTGTTCATGTTTGTCTCATAGTCATATTAGGGAACCATGAGTATAAAAATCTGTTAAAAATAAAACGGAGTAGTTTCTGATTAAAACAGTAAAAAAGCTAGGTTTAGAGGGCAGAAATTAAATGGTACATACTGTACAACTTTAGTTTTTCCGAGAAAAATCTTAGCTTCTATATAACCAGTGTATCTCTTCCCACTTACAATTATGTTGTCGCAACAGGTCACAAGTGATTATCAAAGTTTTTTCCTGATTCCATTTTGACTATTAAAAAAATGACTTTTTTAATAGTTGAAATCATGAGTCAATTGAAGCTAGATCAACATGGAAAACCTGGAAGCACTGGATGACCGTTTCGTCCTACTGTGGAACTCCTCAGCAGTGAGCATCTACTATTCCGCTTCGCGAGATTCGGTTTTTTTTAATAAAAAAAACAGTAACCAAAAGTTTATGTTTACAAATCACAGATTGTTTTACATCTAAAGAAGTATAATTAAATATTACATATTCTGTTAAATATGAATAAGTAAACAAAATATTAAAGTGATAATTAAGAATATACTTCAAAGAAGTATAAAATAATGTAACAAAAAACACAATACATGACAAGATGTTCATTATGAATTAGACATTATTTCCTTTTACCAAACAAGAAGTATATATAAGAAACTTAATTATATAGAAAGATAATCCATTGTTCATATAAATACATAAATGTATATTTGTTTTTTACGAATCTATTTTAGGTAAACAAAATGGATCAGCATAATGTCCAATAGTTTGATTATTTCTAGAAAATAATGTACAATATTCTTTACATGTTCTACATTGTATATCAGAAAATTTTAATTGAGAATAATCTTTTAAAGGGATTGTAGTAGATTGACGTTGAAAACAACAATCTACGTTAGATATTAAATCTGTAACCATCATTAACAAACAATCAATATGCATCACATTTGAACAACCTGGATTGATACACTACAAAACAAAAGAAAAAAAGATACAAATCTTGTTACATACCATAACAAGAACAAAATATAGTTAGGTAAAGAAAAAAGATATATTTACTTCCGAATTTAATATTGAGCCAGACTCTATTTTTGTTTTTTTGTGTGTGAAGGACAGAGTGAAAATAATTACTTGATTAAGCCTGTTCCCTATCGTCGGGTATAGGTCACTGTCCCGTCCTGGGTTCTCATTTTCGCTTTTGCCAAGTGCAATTCATGCTCCGATTTCCGGCCCAATGTACTGTTTGGTCTGCGTCTTTTCCTTTTGCCTTTGGGATTCGAAGTCAGGGCGTGACTTGTGATCTAGTCTGATAATTTCCGCAAAGCATATATTATACGCAACCGAAATCTTTACCTTATTCCCTCCTCAGTTGGAAGTTGGTTTTTTCTCTTCCCCAGTCAGTTATTGCTGATGATCTCTGGTCAATGGATCTGAGTATCCTGTATAAACGGCTATTTATAAGTACCTGTAATTTTTTGATGATGGTTGTAGTAATTCCCCGAGTTTCAACTCCGTCTAATACAACTGTTTTAATGTTGGCATTTAAGATTCTGTTTTTGGTCTTGAGTGACAGTTCTTCTAAGTTCCACATATTCTTTAATTGCAGAAAGGCCTCTCTTCATACGCCGACCATTACCTTCAAATTCACACCAGATTATCCGTGTTTATCGATGATGCTACCTAGGTACGTAAAGGCTCCCCACCTATTAAATAAAGCGTGATTTTGTTTTTGCCTGATGTTTTGTATTTCAGAATCTTCTCTTTTCCCTGTGAATGTTGAGGCATACTACTATTGTGATTTTACACGGCTTCCTACACTGAGGTAATAGGTGGGAGAAAGCAAGGTTTAAAGACATGACCTGAAAGCTAAAAGTCAAGTACTTTGAACACCATACCATTATTCCAAAAAGTAATTATTTAGGGGGAAATAAGAGACAATTAGTGTGAATCGAAGAGAGAGGAGTATCAGTAATCTACACTTGGTGTAACTGGAAATCAAGCGCTTAAACCTAGATTTATTAAATGACTTGGATTGCATTACACAAACTACCATGGAAACAGACTTTGAGTAAACTAGACAGAAACATTATCTAGTTACCATTTCATTATCTACAAGATACAATAATCTGATAACTCTTTCCTTAAGAGTTAACTATTTTTTTCCTAAAAATATAATTGTTTTTTAAATCCTCCTTGTAGAATGACATAGGCGATAGCTGCTAAACAGACATCAAAATTTATTTGCTAAAAATAATTAAACTCAACGAACAATATTATCAAGATATTTACAAGCATAATATGATGCTCTACTTAATCTTAGATTTCTGAAATTGAACAATAACGTATGATACTTTGAAAATGAAACTATAAATCATCTAGCCAATTCGTTAATTAAAATAGCAAAACAACAAAATACTCTATGTTATTCAAGTTATATACAAGTTTACTTACTCGTTTATAAGTAGTAAATTCATGTGTCCATATGGGTTTATTTAAGTCACCACAAAAATCGCAGATTAACGCTCTTCGTCTACACGCTTTACATGTACGTACGTGTGCTAAAGCAACATCTTGAATGGTATTTTTAAGTAGTTCCTCTAATTTTGAAGATTGTACAAGTATTAAATCCTAAAAAAATACATATATAACAAGTAGTACCAGAGGAATGAGCCAGTCTACAAAGGTATGCTGATTGAACAACCAAACAATAGGTGAGTGGAGCATATGATAAATATATCCCATGCAATTTAATCATGCATTTTACATGATGAACTGACCTCAGTTAAACAACTGTTGAAAACTAGGAAGCACTGTACAGCTGTTTCATCCTAGTATGGGAACTGAAAGCTTTGTGTAAGATCTTCAGTGTAATCCTGGATGTGTATTGCTGATAAGTTTTATGATAAGGCGAAACAGGTATTCCGAAGCTTCCTGGTATACAACGGTTGCCTAATCAAAGTCAGTCTACGATGTAAACTGCAAAACTCAAAATTTTCCACATATCTCCAATACTAACAGTGTACAGTTAATCCGAATGATTTATATGTTCTATTCCTCAGTTTACAGACGGACAGGTGTAAATTGTACTGAAATGATCTATATCAGAATGTTTGAAAGAAAACAGAGACATAGAAAGTATTCAGTTATGGAAATGATAACGGAATTGTGAAATTCGATAATCTAATATCAAGTAATAGTGAAGCGATTTTGCTTGTAAATATCACAGTATATGCTGCACTCAAATTATTGATACTGGGAAGAAAAGCAGACAAAAATGATGAATATAATTCGAAAACATATAGGTTCATTACATAAGAACTATCTTTGGGAAATTACCGTCAAAAGATAGGATAATAAGTTCAGTATTACATCAGTTAGCTTTTTAGTACACTGAATATTTTCATCAAGACATTTAAAAAGAAGTTGAGTGGAGAATTGTTTCTTATCAATTAGTTCCTCATCAAGACTCTGCAATAATACATGTATGTGTAAGATTAAGTGTGGAAATATGGGGAAAGTTCAATGAAATTCTACAAGTAACTTCGAAAATGAAATTTCTATTGATAACGTGACCGGTATATACTAAATGTTATGAAACAGAGCTTCGTAATATTCATTTTTGTCCTTTGAACAACAAAGAAGGGTAGTGTTCAGAAGTACGATGATGTATTTGGACGTTTGCATGTCTAATATAACAGATGCCACAAGAGCAGTTGAAACGGTAGATACACACAGATGCAGTAGAACTAGGAAGTTTATCCTTATTTTGTGAATTTACTATTGCCTGATTGAAGAAAAAAGGATATATAGTAACTGAGTTTTGTTCATTCTACGGCCTTTTTATATTTCGTATCATTACCTCACTGGCTTCTTCCTTTACATGATTAAAAGAAAAAATATAGTTATATGAACTAAAAATGAATGTGAGTCTTGGTGATTAAATGAAAAGTAACAATAATTCGTTGAATTTATAATGATTAATCAAAGTGATGTTCGTCAGGGCTGCCCACTCTCTTCATTCTTGTTTAACTTTGTCGTTGACGTGCTTTTAGAGATAACACTTTCCTCATCTAAATTTCCAAGGGATGAACTTCTAACGGGAGATTCAATTGTTGACTTAGAACATACCGATAACATAGTGAAGACGCTGACAAAATGCAGTCTTCTGGCCACTCTAAGCAACAATGCAAGCATGTTCGGGATGCGATTCTCCCCCTCAAAATGCTAACTGTTACTTCAGGATAGGGTGGCATCGTCATTTGAACTGATGATAGGGAGTGAATTAGTTGAGAGTGTCGACAGCTTCACTTATCTTGGAAGTCTCATCAGCTCTTGTGGTCTGGTGTGTGACGAAATCTCAGCACGGATACAGAAGACAAGACTAGCTTTTGCCAACTTGCATCATTTATGGCGTAGGCGAGATATCCGTCTACCAAACAAAGGGCGAGGTAGTGTGCAGCAGTTCGTTCTGTCCTACTTTATGGCAGCAAAACATGACCGGTAAGAGTAGAGGATATTCGTAAGTTACCAGGATTCGATCACATGTGTCTTCGAAATATTGCTCGTATATCCTGGGACTACCGAGTAAGTAACGCTGTTGTTAGGAAACGGGTACTAGGTAAGGATGGTAAATCAACTGATGAAGTAGTGAAACTTCATCAGTTGAGATGGCTGGGACATGTGTTACGTTTGCTCAACCACCGACTGCCCCGACGTGGGATGATTTATGGTGTAGGAGTAGGTTGGAAGAAAGTTAGAAGCGGCCAGACCAAAACATGGCACAAATCTATGAAGTCACTCACAAGTGGACTGAGCCATGTTGGTAGGTGTAGATTACCTGGTTGAGATTCGCGAGATCATAGCAACCGATGGTTAGAGACCTTGAATGACATGGCTCAAAATCGTTTGGAATGGCGCAGGTGCATCCACTCTTTGCGTTCTCCCAAATTCTAATCTTCTGAATTCTTGATGTCCCTTTTTTTCTCTTTCCAAATTTATTTTACTGAATTATACTTTTTGAATAACATCTTCAAACCCTAATCTTTCCGATTACTGCTTATACTTTTACTACCTCTACCACTATGGGATTTGAATCGACAATTGTATTTGTGTGCTAATGTGGTATGGCAACTCGAACTGATATACGTACGTACGTACGAAGTTCTACTTTGATACTGACTGACTGAGTATGACGCACCGTATGCTACAATAAAAATGCGTTCCTAATGGTTAGATTAGTTGTGAACATAGAATGATGCAATTGAAAAATAAGTTTATCGTGCATAGTTTCATAAAAATTTCTTCAAAAACATTGTTACAACTCATACAGAAAAGTACTTATCTTTAGTCAATGTATCTACATTAGATGATTGATGATAAATTCCTATTGTTGATACATAGTTTAAACTTGCGTTTGGAAACACCGTTCCTTTGTATTTCATCACTTCATCAATTATTAGAGCATATATGCGACTTTAAATAAGAAACATATTTTATATTAGTTTCTGTCAATAATTCCAGAACACTGTCATCTTTCTATTATTTATTTGTTTATTTGAACACATGAATATTGGTACAAGAGAGCGCCAATATATATGCGCCACACAAAACAATGAGAATTCGAAGTGAAATAGAAAAAAAGCTAAGGAGCACAAAAAAAGAGAACAATAACGAAGAGATTGATGTAAGGTAGTGTGGTAGTAGCGAGGGAACAGAAAGGTACAATCAGAAGAAATCTTTCAGGTAAGGGAGACAACCACTTTTTATGAAGAAGGTAAAAGAAGGTTACAGCAGGATCGTCACTGACTTCTATTCTGAGCCATATCTGATAACGTCTCTAGCCACTGTATAGCACCATCTCTCAGACCCCAACCAGGGAGTCGTGAAGGACCAACAGAAGCCAGTCCTTTGCAGCTTTCTTTCATGCCACGACACCATGTCATACACTGACCACCTCTCCGCTTTCTCCAACCAGTCCCAGAGTCGGCAAATAATGCACGACGTGGAAATCTCTGGAAGGACATTCGTAGAACATGTCCAAGTCACCGAAATCGGTGTTTCAAGATGGTGACATCGATTGCATTATCATCTCTGTGCCCGAACACACGATGCCGAACCTCTGCATTACTGACATGGTGTTGCCACTGGATGTCAGCAATCCTTCGGAGACAACGATGATCGAACACAGAGTCGTCTAACGTCCTCGACTCGAAGAGGCCAGGTTTCACAAGCATAGAGCAGAACTGCTCTCACCAACGCGTTATAGATCCGACCGTCTACAGCCAGACTAACATCACGAAGGCGCCAAAGGTGGCCCAGATTGGCATAAGCCGCTCTGGCTTTCACTATACGTGCATTGATCTCATCACTCACACCCCCACCAGCACTTATGCAGCTACCCAGATACACGAACTCCTCGACTACTTCTATCTGCTCACCATTCAGGGTGAGTACAGGATTGGAATCCTGCCAGTCTTGTAGAAGTACTTTGCAATTCGAAGGTCCAAAGCACATACCATACCTACGGACACTGATTGCCAACTGATTAAGTGCGGATTGCATGGCTCGGGCATTATCGCACAGTAAGACAATATCGTCCGCATACTCAAGGTCGAGAAGTCTTTCTCCAGGCAACAGATCCACACCACCATTACTTACATCCATCAGAGCTGTTTCCAGAATGTCATCGATGGCAAAGTTGAAGAGGAATGGTGGGATTGGGCAACCCTGCCTAACCCCACTGCTCGAATGGAACAATGGGGAGAGGTGGTTGTATGCCCTCACTCTGCCTGAGGTGTTTGTATATAGGGCTTTTAGGATGTTAATAAACTTCTCAGGCACACCCTTCTTCAATAGACAATCCCAGAGAACAGTCCTATCCAACGAATCGAAGGCAACCCTGATGTCAAGAAACACTACGATTGTTGGCCTTTGATAAGTATGGCAGTGTTCTAACATTTGGCGGAGGGTGAAGATATGATCAATCCATCCTCCACCAGAACGAAACCCAGCCTGCTCGTCGCGAGTCAATCTTTCTCGGGTTTTGAACAACCTACGAAGTATGACGGAAGCCAATAGCTTGGACGCAATCGGAAGTAGACTTATTCCCTGATAGTTGTTACAGGAACGACGTGAACCCTTTTTAAAGATAGGGACAACTATCGACTCATTCCATGACGTTGGTACACTCTCTAGTTCCCAAACCTTTGTAAACAACGTCGTCAATTCCTTAGTCAAAAAGTCACCACCATCTTTAAAAAGAGCCGGAGGTAAGTCATCTGGGCCAGGTGATTTGTAACGCTTCAAGAGTTGGAGTTCCTTGCGGAATTCCTCCTCATTTGGTGGATCAGTCGTCACCGGCCATGGAGGGCAGGACAGTCTGACCGATGTTGCCGGAGCAGCAGGCCAGTTGAACTGCCCTTCGAAAAATTCTGCCCATCGTCCAAGACGTCGATGGATGTTAGTGATTGGCATCCCATCATCCTCGCAGATTGTTTCACTCACACCAGACTTCTTGCTGCCAGTGGCTCGGATGAGTCGGAAGAGCTTCCGGTAGTTACCAGATGCAGCTGCTGCTTCCAGCTCATTAGCACGCCTCGACCACCAGGCTTCTCGGTCCTTACGCAAGCTTCTCCCAATTTCCTTACGTAACATCCTTCGTTTATGGTCAAACTCACGGTCACACGGAGTAGACCGACGGGCTTCAATGAGTTGTAAGGAACCTGCAGAAACCCAGTGCTTATAAGCGGGACGTTTCGCGAACCCACAACTGAATGTATCCGCCATTTTCATGGCGTCATGCAATTGCAACCAATGCTCATCTATACTTTTCGGTGGAGTGGTAGCTAGCCTAGAAACTAGCTCGATTCGATACTTACTTGCAACAGAAGTTGCAACCAGCTTGCTAATATCAATCCGTTGATGGCGGTCACTTCGTTTTCCACTGAAAAGTAAGGTAAGATTGGCGCAGACCAAGGCATGGTCAGAGTCCAGATAGGTACTCCAAAAGGAGCGGCAGTCTTGTACACAACCACGCCAGCGGTAGCTGATCGCGATGTGATCAATCTGAGTCCAGGCTTGAGATGCAGAAGGAGGACGCCAGGTGGCACATCGGCGACGACTGTGCCGAAAGTTAGTGCTAGCCAGAAACAGATTGTGGTCTGTGCAAAGTTGCAGTAGACGGTGCCCGACCTGAGCATTCAAGTCTCCGGCTAGTACTAGAATATCTGTCGAACGCACTTTCTGGAGAAGAACAGATAACTGGTGGTAAAACTCATCCTTGATTACATCCGGGCTGCAATCTGTCGGGGCATAGGCGGAGATGACGAAAAGACAACGTTTCTCACGCCGATTTCTTCTCACTTTGATGGAACTTTCCAATCTAACAGCACATAACCGACTGTTAATGGGGATCCAATCGACTAGTGCTGCCTCCGCTCTAGCGCTTAGTGCGACACCAACGCCAGCAAGACCAGACGAAGATGCTACAGGGTCCCCGGATAAGCGCACGTAAAACAAGCTTTTCGAAGCGACAGATGGAGATCGAATTTGTAGTACTTCGCCAGAGTCTTGAATACGGGTCTCGGATAGACAACAAACATCAATATTAAGACTTTCCAAAGACATAGCCAGCCCTATCTGTTGTCCGACCTGCATAAATGTGCGAACGTTGAAGGCAGCCAGTTTGAATGGTGCAAGTGGTTTCAGAAAAACTGCTTCAGTTCTCGTATTCGGTGGTAACATACAATTTTCAACCGGACAGTGACTCGAGAGCGTTTAGATACAGTCGAATTTCCACCAAGACGAGCCGCTGTATAAGTATAAAAGAGGGTGAATAATGTAAAAAATAATAATAATAATAATGACAATAATAGTAATAATAATAACAGTATTAATAATGACAATAATTGTAATGATAATAATTTAAATCAATTGATTGTTTTTCGAAGCGAGGAAAGTAATTTCCATAGACATAAAGAGTTCATCATTTGTGTGTGGGCTGTGATACTGCCCGGGTGCCCAAACCGAAGCAGGTGGTTATCTTAGGGGGCCACACCCCGAGCCTTTGACCTAAAGGTCTAATCCACAAGGCAGTGGAGCATCGTAAGGAGATGCAATCCCATGGTAGCCGGTGACCAACGATTGGTTCATACGCCATTTGTTCCCGCAGGATACTGGAGCCCATGTGCACCATTGGTTTGTGATCCGGTTAAAGTGCCGGACATTCGCTTTTCGTCCTCTCATTTTCGTAAACAACACCCCCGCCACGAGAAGGCAATGAGTAGGACTTCCCTGGCAAGGGCTGTATCCGCGCGGCCGTACCAGGGCATTCGGGGGATTAGTTCACAGTTATATAATATACCCTTGTAGGCCAGGGTAATTTTACATTAGTTTTTAGGAGAACCAGACACCATCCGGACTTTCACGTAAAAACCCAAACAGTGCAGCTCAACCCCGTTTAGCAGAGGAACCAGACACCGTGCAGGCTTTAACGCTACAATCTGAATAGTACAGCTCAATCCTGTGGCGCAACCACACAGGTACCAAGCACCCTGGTGGACCAAGGAAATTTCATGTATTTACTTCATTCGCAGTGTAACTATATTATAGACCAAGGACAATAGCGACATAAAAATAATCTTATGATTTTGAAACCACTTTTCAGTCAGTGGAAATGAAGTCAGCATAAATATAAAGTATTTCACCATTGAAGTAATAAGACCGGTAAGACTGTGGTGATTTTTGGGAATTTATTAGCTTTTCACGGCTTATTATCAGTTTATAACCTTAAAGTTATATATATATATACCAAGGCTTTATTTCTGGATCCTTTTTATACCCATAAATGGTTTTGTGGAACATTCATCATCAGTGACGAAATTTCTATTACACATTCGCAGAAGATTTAGAAAGATGGAAATGTAAGACAATGTGGGGAAGTAACGTGAAGAAATCGTTATCTCCTTTTGGGATTCCTACTTCACTGACTCATTTATTATTCACTAGATAACTGATAAAATGGTTTGTTTAGGAAGCTACCATGAGCAAAGCAGATTCAAGCACTATCCCGATAGGAAAAAGCAAGAATTTAACCTGTTTCACTCTTTCATTTTCAACTTATGATGATAAAAACAAAAAAGGGTTTTCCAACTGATTCTAAATGTTTCAAGTAGCACACATAAATCTTTCTATTTGGACTTTTCATGTGAAGTATGACACAAAAGTCATTTTCACAATTCTGATTGTCTTAGTTTTATAGTACAGTCATACATAATTGGATTTATTCTTTAGTTTATCTTGAGAGAAATGATATTCTACTTTTGTTGAGACCACAAACCGATCCAGGTTAAACAACCATTGAAAACCTGAAAGAACTGGACGGCCATTTCATCCTAGTATGAGACTCTTTAGCAGTGCGCATCCACAACCCTGAAAACAGGAACCAAACGTAGAACTCGCAATCTCCTGTGCGAATGCTTAACCCCTAAACCACTGAAAAGGAATTTGATGATGTACAAGTCTTACTTCAATCCATAATCAAATCTACTTTATTCTAGAAAACATTCGAAAGAAAAATAAACTAATGATAGAAATATTGCTAAATCAAATATTATATTTTTTTATTATAAAAATGAAGTGAACTGGAATTTATAACAACAAACCTACCTCAATTGAATATATATCAATATCATTGATATTTTGTAGCATATACATTCGACCATCCATGCATTCACATAGTTTTTCAGCTGTTTTACCATCACATCTAATTATTTGATCCCATAACAAAACTAAAGTACGTCGAAGTTGTCTAATTAAATATAAATTCGGTATAGTAGCATAAAGAATAGGATTTAATTTAGCTAAATTTATCACTGGTCTATTATGTAATGCACTAAGAAATTGATGTGTAATTTGACAAACTGCAATTAAAAGATAAATTTTAAAGAAAGAAAGAAAAATTAAAGGAGAGGAGGAAGAAGAATAAACAATTGTAAGATTAATTGAATGTTAACATTAAGAAAACTTCATTACAAGTGAGGGTGTCAGTCAGTAACAAAGTAGAACTTCGTACGTACGTACATCAGTTTAAGTTGCTATACCACATTAGCACAGAGATGCAGTTGTCGATCCAAATCCCATAGTGGTAGAGGTAGTAAGTGAGGGAAAAAAATGTAATCATAAAATTCGATTTTATGCTATATTGTGTAATTTATTTGTCAAGTGTATAGGTTAATATGCTCAGATTTAAGCTTTGCTATTCGTTATATATGGGTGCGAGTGAGAGAGAGATAGGGTAATTGATGATATTTCAATTAGTCAAACTGAATTACTAGAAGTGTAGCAAGAAACTAGATTAGATTCTTCAAATCATGTCGTCGTCGAATCATTTCGGGAACAAAAGAAAAAAAAACTAAAGAAATCAACTGCTCATAGTTTGACAAGATGAAACAGAATGATCGATTGTGTTAACGTTCTCAATATTAATATATTGTGTTAAGAAATAAATTAATCAGATACAAAGTTTATCAACCGAATATTCTACATAAAAATGATAATTTTATATAATTGGTCAGTTGACTAAGGATATCTAAACTAAGTCAGAAATTGAAAGAGGAATATTCCACAATCAGTCAACACAGTCAATAAATCATTGACAAACAGTTATACCATTACTTTTAGTGAAATATCTACGTTGGATTTACTTAAAATTCATTCGCTGAGATTTTACAAATATATTCTTCTTTTTAATATCTATATTTGGTTAGATAAAAATATCAAGGTGATATTTATTTGACTTCCAGATAAGTTTTCTAAAGTTATGGTCTGTACAGCCGACCAAGTAGGGAATGAGACAGATATCCGCTAGTAGTGCTACTAAGTGAGGATTGTAATGAAACACAAACTGACCAAATTTGAAAATACGGACAGAAATGTATTCACTCAATGACTAAGACATATTATAGTCACCACAAAAGCTAAAGGTTCAGAATTTGATTCTGTTTGGGATTATACTGTAATAATTGATTATTTCGTACACACGAAATGAAAATTTTTATCGCCTAACATACATATTCAATCAATTGTCTAGTGGTTCCATAAGCAAATTACCAGTCCAATTCCATTAGGTATCCAGTAAGGGGATTAAATCAATTATCCCGTAGTAACAGTCATTAATTACTACGTAGAATTATGTTTTGGATAATGTTTACCATTAAAATGTAAAGTGGATATTCCATTTTATTTCAGACTAGTTATCTGAATGTACCTCCATCCTAATGTTAATCTTCACACTAGAACTCGAACTTGTGACCTATCGTTTAAAATACCAAAGAGCTACTAATTGAATTATGTTAGCCATCAATGTATTCAACAGGATTCAAAGAATTTCAAACAAGGATTGATCAAATTCACTCCTGCCTTTCGATAAGAGAAACAATGGAAATTTACACAGTTTTAATAGGATTAATTTTATGTCATAATCAATAAGAAATGGAGAATAATAATAATAATAATAATAATAATAATAATAATAACAGTATACCTGGTTTCAGTGAAAAATCCCAATTCATTATAAGATTACGAGGAATAATTGCTTCTTGTAACTGATGACAATTAATACAATAAAAACAAGCATCATAATGATCCAGGAAAGCATTATCTAAATTTGTATAGATTAAAGAAGGCGAGGATTCGAAAGCGAAGATAATAATTAAAACAAGAATTTAAGAAAAGGTAAGAAACTTAAATTAAACATAAATCCAAATGATATGAAAGAAACAATTGAATTTTGATGTAATAACTAACTTTTAAATATTTGTGTTTTGCTAACTCATAAAATTTCGAAATAAATTACAAATTAACAATGATATAATGAAATTTCGGATATAAACTATTGTTTATTTAACAATAAGAATCAACCTCAAAGATTGGAATAATTGGGATATTGAGGAACTATGTGAGACTATGAATGTGACTCGAGTTATTACAATTTTGAATTCAAGAAATAAATCTGTGATTGTAAACAAAGTTGTGAATAATGGCTATTGTGAGAAAATTATTAATGTAGTTCACATTGACTACAAATCCATGCATTAGTGTCTATGTATATGATCAATGCTTCAACAAAGCTGATTCATTTAAATATTTTAAATATGAAGCGATACCAACGGAATAACCAATGGAAATCAGAAACTATTAGTTTGTCGGTTTATATAAGTCTGAGACTCTTTAAATAGCACGCATCTTTAACGATACCCACTCCCTAACTTCATGTGGGGTAATTAGACATTTAGCCACTAGATTCTAATCCAATCGATCACTACTAAAAATAAAATTGATTTACAATATTTTATGTAAAATTCTTTACCAATCAATTGTGCATTACGATTGTATGACTTTATATGATGATTATTATATTACCAACATGTTTCATAATTAGTGGAAAATAAAATTTCACCTTTTCAAAGACTAAGGAATACAGAAACAAAACTTTTGATTTGAGGGCTTCCAGCCAAATACCAACAGCTGATTAACATCAAAGTGGATCACCATGTCAACTCACGTGACCTGGAGGTCACACTGATAATTCGATCGATAGGAGTCAGTCAGCATTGATACCTACAGTTTAGTGCAAACCGCTTCTTAAAAAAGACGACTAAACTCCATACGTCTAGGGTTTCTCACCATATTTCTCAAGTAATTCACGACAACGTCAGATACACAGGTAATCAATATATAATTATATTACCGGTATGGGGTTGTCGAGAATGCTAGGTTTTAAAATGGGGTCATGAACCGATCGTGGATTGACTGGAGTTAAACATTAACACCATTGGATGAGGGCTGTCGTTCGCGAGTGAGATCGAAGGTCCTGGGTTCAAATCCAACGTGCGGGATCGTGGATGAGCACTGCTGAGGAGTCCCACACTAGGATGAAACGTCCGCCCAGTGCTTTCAGTTTTTCAATGGCGGTTTAACATTGATTGGCTCATGATTTGAATTAATATATAAAAAGCTAAATATACATATATGTACATTTTTTTCACTGAGAGGGAGAGATATTGATCATTATTTGTAAGAACATAGGAACAGTTAGTACAAATTCTAAGGGAACTGGTGCGTATAATTTATAGAGAATTAAGAATTTTCACTGGTTGAATCAACTCGGAAAATGCATTAGTTCATTAGATAAACTGATAGATTACAAATTATACAGAACCTAATAAATTCTAGTATCATGTGGTAATATCAAAAATCAGAATTAAATGGAAGTCCTAGGTTCGATCTTTGGTAAGGTTGTGGATGCACAGTATTAACGAGTTTGATATTGGCGAGAATTAACTATCCAGTGCTTTCCGCTTTTCAATTTTTGTTTTAAAATCAGTCTTCAATGCAAACTATAAAATTAAATAACAGTTGATTATGATATTTTGATTATTCTCATTGTAAATAATCGTCAATTTTATTATTTTAAGTAAACAAAACGAGTCATAGTACTGGTATAAAATATCAATTATTGAGTAGTTAATCAACAATAGTAATAAACACATACTTAGTTTCAGACGATCGGAACAACGTTTACAACGTCCATAGAACACAGAGTTTTCTCCATTTTCATATTCAAATTTACATGCCCCAGGAAATATATCAACCAACCGTGAAACATCCTAAATTTTGTTTTCAACAGCAACCAAAAATAATACTAACATAGAATCAAAAGAAAACAAGATACCCAAGTAGTTCTATTTAAGTAACTGATAAAAATATCACACATAGAAATGAATAAACTAATGTCAAGGATTGGTAATGTTTGGTTAACTTCAAACCATTAAGTTCTGAGTGAAAACAACATGTCACTTTATTCTGAACTATTGGTTGTACCATTAACTTTTACACATAACAAATAAATTATATCTTGTCTGTTGAAAACTCAAGATCATTAATCATGGACGGTTTAACATACCCAGATGTTTAAACTGGAAAAATAAATGATGGAACGGAATTTGAACCTGTGACTCGATGATGAAAATTTGAATGCAACATTTTATATGTTGAGATACTTTTACTGATTAACGTGCTTAAACGGCTAACTTATATACGTAGGAAGAGTGAGAATAATTATCTAACAAGAATTTGTTTTATCCCACCGGATCCTTATCAGATACCTAAAACCTTTAGGATTCGAATATCCGTAAAGCGAATTCATTTCAACATTTTATGATTGAAGTCGATCACTAGTGAACATTAATATGTGTCAGTATAATAAGTAGTTAGAACTATAAAAATCCAAGCAAAAATAAAGAGTGATTAAGATGTTACAACTGAGTATCATATTTAATGGGAACTTCTATAAAATCTAATTTAGAAAGTCACTTAAGTGTTTAAAGATGAAAATTTGTTAGAAACTCGGTTGGATTGTGTTATGAGGATCTAGAGTTATAATTACTGTTATCAATGTTGATGAGTAAAGAAAATCTACATATTTCCTTGTTACTATTAGGCTTTTCATTTCTATGACAGAAATTCGAGAACCAGTTGTAAAATGTATGTTCATCAACAGATTATTAGTTCACCAAAAAGAACAGTATAAACTTTTATTAATTTGTTTAGGATTATGGACTGATTAGAACCCACAAAAAACTTATCCTCATCAGTTTTTGGTATGAATAGATGTTATGAATCAGATGTTATTTACGGTAATACTGAAGCATGTAAATAACTTTCAGTCACGAAGTTAAAAAACTCTCCCTCAACTGTTTAGGCCAGGGTGATCGGGTGGTATTACTGATCCAAAAACAAAAAGCGCGACTTAAAGATTAGTACATAAAATGTACCTAACGATGATAGGTGAAGACAAAAGACATGAATTGAAATCATCAGAATTAGCCAAGGCAGAACCTGGCACATGTGTACATCGGTTCAAGTTATCAAACCCCATTAGCAAGGAAAGGCGACTTCACTGTACACAATGATGCCTCATATAACTATAAAAAAGGATAATGGCAATCAGAAAAGCCCATTTCAAATGTAAAGAGACGAAAACCAGAAATATTTCTGCACCATGGTTTAATTAGGTTAAGAAGGGCGTTTATTTGTGTAACTACCACAACGGCGCAAGTTGGTTAAAATAGAAATGTAACAATAATTGGACACCACATCATCATGTTTCTTAACCGAACTAAAATATTTTCTTAAAAGTCTATTGTAACTCATCTACCGACCACAATTTTATGCACCCATACTATTGTTTAAACGGAAGTAAGATAACAATCAGATTACCTTCTCGGTAATATCTAATAACAAGTCGTCACCAACTATATCCCAATCGTTGTCCTGTGAAATTGTAGAGGTTTTCATAAAAGAGAAAAGAAAAAAGAGACATTACTATGGAGAAGTTCATCGATTTAAACAAATTCTACAAAGAGACAAAACACACGTCGGTAACTCAACAAATCAAAAGATGAGCCCGATAAACACAAAACTTTTGGCAAGTCCAGATTTACAACACGGTCAGAAATTGTCGCTTATTATTTGCAAAATTATTTACATTTCTGTTTGTGAGTTCAAAAAACTGCTCAGCTATCTAGATCGAGATAGACGGTGCAATTGACGGACCACAAATATAGATATCATCTTAAACATTATTATCAAAAATATGAAGCTACGTTAGTTGCGATAATCAACAATTTTACCGCGTGAAATTGTTTAAAAATCCTATCACATATCAGAATACAAACCAAATTGGAATAGCAGATCAGGATTCTTTGTAATTGTGCCAATGATTAAAATGTATACTATTCTAACACTCACTAACCTCATTTGTTAAAGATTCTGTCGATACATTTCTATCCGCTTCTGGAACCAATGTAATTGAATCAGAAGGTTTAGCTGTTTAATTTTAAAAAATAGAAATAAAATGACACTCAACTTTTCCGTGGGAAAATACTGCACTAAATTTCCATCTAAAAATACATTGCCTCACTTCTATCCTTGAACTCTGAGAATATTCAATACTGTAATGTATATCAGGGTTGAGCTAAGAAACTTTCAGATATCCAGACGAATACATACCTAAGGACGTTAAGTTACAAAGGTTTATTGCACGAACGTATTTGAAATTTTAAGTTATTCACAAGTGGAACCTCTGGGTTTTTGCAACTAAGTTTATTTTCGAAGTGTAGTCATATTGAATAAGAATTTTTATCTTTATTTGCTTTGAAGAAGCGACTTACATTAAGTCGCGAAACGCCAGAAAAACAATTTTATACTAATTGGAATATCATAAAAATACTTATTATTACCAACATTTAAAACTTTCCATAGTAATACAATAGGTATGACAACATAAATAAAATTATTCTATTCTTAACATTTCGATATATAACCTTGAGCATGAAACAAGTGAAAAGTTGTCTATTCCAACCAATAGTAGTAGACAACAATATGTAAAATCAAACGTACAGATTCACAGATATTTACTACCCAAACTATGGTAATTGTGGTAAACAGTGGGGCGAAAGCACACTATATTTTAAAAATCATTACGAAGATCAGTACTGTTGGTTACTTCGTTCGCACGCTGAATTCAAAGTTAAATTGAATAAAGGGAGTAATTTTTAATGCTTCCAATAAAATCACAAAACACTACCATCTCTATAAAATAATTATGTTAATTTTTTATTGATATGTATCTATTGTAAAAGTATTCGTTTGTTGGTTTTAATTACAAAGTATTATTTTTTAATGCGCTAAATATAACAACATTAAAATTAATAGATAAACACAAGTCTATTACTACTAATACTGTTACCACTTTTGATACTCTAGGATTCGCGCTTACAGTTTCACCCTCTTGTGCCAATTGGCTAATGTAACTCAAGCTATTGTACATATGCACCAGGTTCAACGTTGTGTTTGACAGGCTGAAGTGGAATTTATAGAAATATAGTAGTAGTGATGTCTCGATTACGACCAGGTTCATGAAATATCACTTTATGGGAATGCAAGAAGACTCTTAATATAACTCCTCTAAATAATATATCAAGTGGAAAACAAATAATACTTGAATAAAGCAAGATAAGAATAACGTCTGTCCAACGTTCATTTTGAACAAAAAGATGAATTTTTAGATAAAATTTCAGTATATAGGTATGATCTTGTACAGTGATGAGCAATATTTTTCTTTTTACGAACATTTTCAAATAAAATCAGTTGATTTAAGACCAAAACAGGGTTGTAGAGGTAAATAAATCTCCAAGCAAAAAAGTCCTGTAAGTTTTCGACATTGATACTGACCTCATTAGTTTTATTGCACACCCTAAAAGAATGCTCTCAGTTACGCGACCGTACCAAATCGCGAGTGGGTATGTTGTGCTACGCATCGCCTCCAACTACTACCCAGCTTAGATCAAAACGTTCCCAAATATATCTGAGGACTTATTAGTCCTTGACTTCTGATTTGAGTTGATATTCTTTGTTTATACAAGTCTTACAGACAGAGGCGTTGTCAAACCCTGAATATCTGTGGCATTTTAAAAGTAATAGCAACGCATCTTTGCCAGTAAACAGGAAATAGAGAAAAATATCGAGAAAAACAGTATCGTTTTACCTTCGGAAGTAGTCTCCATACTTGTATTTACTTCAGAAAATTTGCATATCTCGATAGGTTCGATCCATGAGTTGCAAGCAAGCCTCAACAGGTTATTTGAACCCGTAGGATAAATTTGTTTTTGACTGATCAACAGATGATTTTCAGGTTTCATCATAGCTTGAAACACCATTCACGTCGGGAAAACGACTACATCAGTATTTTTAAAGTAAAATCAATAACATTTTTTAAACCAAGAGTGACTAGTCACATTTTGTTGTACAGAGTTATGTAAAATCATAAAAAATAAATTTCACTGAAGAATGAGAAATGTGAGCCCCAAAACGACAAAACCTTTCAGATATTATACAAATTCTGATTCCCCCATAAGCCTTTAAAAATTTACTAATTTCCCATTGAATCACATCTGATGTAAGAAATTACGGGATTATTCAAGCTAAATATACCATAAAAAGCTGCTTTCTAAGAACAACAACTAATATTATTAGACTGTGTTTATCAGAGTTATTTGCAGTGTCTATGATTAACCAGTAGAAAACTGGTTAACTATCTTAATGTCGAGAACAAGACAAGAAGCCAAAGGCTGTTAAGAAACAAATTGAGGAACCAACGCATTTCCCAAGAACCTAACAAACAGACAACACGACATATAACTAAGTCGTTGAAAATAAATCTTGAACTTGGAAGGAGAAAACTTTTTTTTGTCCGAAATTTAGAAAAACCCTGCAGATATTTGTACATACATGGCTCGATTGAATTTCTAAAATCAGTGGAAGCGGTTAGAACCACAAAGCTTCAACCATCGCTTTTCTGAAAGTCTGAACTTGCCATAAAACAGACATATCCAAAAGGTTAGTTTTAAAGACCTACAGGAAAAACTAAGAACTAAATTATGAGAGATATCAGATTACAAGGGATTATAATTATTTGGAACCTTCCGTCGCAGCGTATCAAATGGATAAAATAGAACTTATGTCCAGAAAATCATCAAGGAAATCAGAAGACTTCGTGAACACAAATATTAAAAAGCGGCGAGACTATAATTTTTGGACGAACCAATCAGATTTACGATGACAAGTATTGGATTAATCCAATAGAAAGTTCTACGCGAAATTGACCCATCCATTTACCGAATTAGTTTTGGCACTAATGTTGATGTCAGTTCGTGATGAAAACCCTAAATCTAATTCCTAACCTTTACTATCAACTGTAAATCATATGATATATAGTTCCGAGCAATTGACTGCACATTGTATACATTAACTTTCCAAGCAAGATGGTCACTCTACATCGAGGCAAATTTAAATTTATTAGGGACTTGGAATGCATGAAAATGTCTAAAAGAAGATGCACTGCAGTAAGCCGTTACGCAAAAAATTCTAACTCATCAGCTGATCGTAGCGCAACTTTAGGAAACACCTCCTATTTATTGTCGGATTCAACCCTGATTGACCAAAGTTGAATGTAATTTAGCCTAAATACTTGGTGGATTTCCAGAACAATGATAGTTGACTGTTGAAAATTTCTAGGGCAGTTGCTTAAGCTATTTTAAGTGTCATGGAACTACATAAATTCATCACCTGAATTCAGGAACTAGAGTTCCAGTTTCACTTTGAAAAGAACAGGAGGCTGAATGGCCTGTGTTAGTCTTGCAAATGGTGATCTCTCAGTTCATCCAACATTCTTTTGAAAGCGTCGACGGATGGAGCTTCAATCGCGTGTTGGGTTAATAACTCCCATTTGTCGATTATTCGGTGGGAAATGCGATAGTCAGCTGACCAGTTATTTATCCTGTACTTTTGAAATTTTTAGGAGTGTCCTCGTATATTCTCTGCCTTGAAAGACATGAAAAGTGACAGCACATTGAATACAGAGTTATCACAAAGTTATTCAAAAACTATGATCAAGTCACTTCTGATTCTTCTATATTACAATCGAAATAGATTTACCTTAGCCGTCAGTATATGGAAAAGTTGGTATTCTAAGAGTCATCAGTCGGAGGGCTCTGGACTAAATTCAGTGAAACCTTCGTTCCTCAAGACCAATAATCATTTTTCAATGGAAAATCCTTTGAAATGAATATGTATCGGCACACAGTGACCTGTGAAAGATCTGGATTTCACGTCCTCTCTGAAACTTCCAAGTCAAAGTGACTTGATTTGTACAACAGCACAGATTTTCTAACCGGATTTCGTGCTCGTGGAGGTTCTAGTAGTTTTGAAAGTCCGTCAAATTTGTCTGCATGCCAAAAACGTTTGTAACATTTTCATGTCAGCTTTTTGTGAGATGACGGATGTGTGGATTAACGAATATATCGATACCAAAATAATGATGAAGTTAATAAAAATATTATGGAGACAATAAATAAAATACATTTATTTAAATACGCATGACTAGGTTCATGGAAATTTACTCGGATTGTGAGTCGGAAGCGTGTTCGAATTTCGGTTTCGTGATCTGTAATTGTAAGTTGTCAATAATTTAAAATATGATAACTACAAGCCAAGGTTATTTGTTTCCATCATAATCGGCACATCAGTATGATTTGTAATTGCAGGTAGCAAATATACTTTAGTCTTTTTTGACGCCTCAGCTGATAAGCGATAACGAGAAGCGGCAATGTATTCATGGGCGAAAATCCGTGCATCATGTTAGGAGAGAACTAAAACGGTAACGAAGGGTTAGTGTCAAATTCAGACAGCCATTTCGCATCCCAAAACGTAGTTGTAAAAGTTACGTGAAACTCCTGAGAATGTCGATAATTAGAACAACGCATACAAGCGAACAACTGTTCTCAGTTGGATCGCCATCAGGCTTTAGTCTAATATACATGAACATTTCATTGCGATTATTGACCCAAATTGCCTTGATTGATTTAACGTTTCCGTATAATTATTGATTTATATTAGAGAAAAGCCCGGTGACGATCTAACTGAAAACAATTGTTCGCTTATATGTGCTGTTCTGATTTTCACAATAGGAATCTTTGATATTCTAATGTCGGTAACAACATAATTCGCTTGTATATTAGGTATGTTAGTGTGATAATAAGGAGTATTTGAACCATAGTACGATTTAAGGATCCCAGGAATAACGCAACTGTATCAAGAAGTACTATATAGGCACGAACGAATGTAATATACTTGGAAATCGAAATCAAGCACTCAACAAGTACAAAGGAATAGTTTATTTTTACAAACACCGCAGTTAGTTATCTGAAACCAGCTTCTCCCAAGGGTTCCGGAGGTTACACTGGTGAAAAAATTATAGCAAGAAGGAGAATATACGCATCTGAAAGCAAAATGCTGGATTTAAAATGGGTGAATTTATCCGCAACGCAACCATGTAAACTTAATGTATTGCCAAGTGTAATAACGGTCATCTGTGTGTTCAAGTAACCACAAATTTTGTCATTTCATAATGTATTTTTAATTAAATAACTAGATTATGTTGTTAATTTTGCTCTGTTTTTAACTTTTATTCGCCACGTCTGACTGCGTTACACTGTACGTTCATTGCACGCTGGAATGATATCTCAAGTCATAGTTAGCTTAATCACATAGTTTACTGTTTCCAGATAGACCGTCAGTGCATGATGTCACTGAAGAAATGTTTGTTGTACTGTAGACTATGTTTTTATGAATGGCCTTTATTTCGTGTTTTGGTTTTATCGGCTAAATTATGTTCATTTAACTTCGTTTAGCAACATGTCTGTGCAAATGGAACAATAATTGTGACATTTGCTTAGTTTAGTATTGTTGGTTGCCGTTATAATTTGGATTAGTCGATAGAATCATAATATACTTAAGTATAGTGCTTAAAGCTTGTAACGTAACGGATCAGTTTAGTAAGTACAGCTGCCTGTTTTTAGTGAGTATACTGATTCAAATCAGTCTGATTAAAAATAGGAAAAAAACGTACCTTTGATGCTGTTGCTGTCATATATTATAAGATAGCGATAAGTATGTTTGGTGTTTATTTGTAGACAGGACGTCTAACACTGTCCATGTTTCAAAACCAATGTCATTAAACAACTTCCCCAGCAATAACATTGGTAGAAGAATAGCTAAGCCGAGCGAAGCCAGTAGGTCCTGGGTTCGAATCCTGCAGGGGGCGGTTTCGTGGATGCGCGCTGCTGAGGAGTCCCATACTAGGACGAAACGGCCGTCCAGTGCTTCCAGTTTTTCAATGGTGGTCTAGCTTCAACTGACTCATGATTTCAACCTGTGCAATAGGTAAGTGTCTGAACTTTTATTTGCCTGCAGAAGAGCAGTGTACAGTCTTAGAAGATGAGTGTTCTGTGTCTCAATAAATGCAGCTGGTTGTGGACAAATGTTAAGAATCTTTCTGACAACGGGGACTTTTAGTTTATCAGACACTAACTCTGCCTGTATGTCTTCATGTTAAACTAGACGTAAGTGCATGAGAATACTTAAATGATAGCAAAATAATAAAAGCATTGCGATACGGTACTAAGTCCATATTATGCATTGTACAAGTAATAGTGGCTGACCTGATCTAATATTCATGAAATCAAGGTAAATCACAACTGCACAAATTCTTTGCTAAAAAACATGTAATTTGGTGATTTATCTATTCCACATTTCTCACTAAATTCATCACTATTTTCTCATTTAGAGTGAAACAGGAGTGAGCCTTTGTAGAATTATGGTCTACTATGATATTAGTACTGCTCTAATAATAGACCTAATCCTAAAATTGTAGATTTGTCATGATATAACTGCCTAATATATAAGATCTTACGTGGAAGTCACACCATCGACTACACCAACTCACTGTATCGTATCAATTACCAATACATGATGTAGAACAAGGTTAGGCTAGAGAAAGAACAATATATTTAATATGAATAGGAGATATAAGATAACATCCAGCAGGGACCACGCCTGCATGGCCGAGCCATGCCACTCGATCAACTCAGTCCATTCAATTCATTCTCTGCGCCTTCTCCATTGTTAGGTATTTCTCCGAGTTAAATATTGAATATCTATTTTCTGAGTAGTCTCGTGTTCACAGCTTTGTGGATTGTGTGGCTATTGTCCAATGCCACTACACTACTCTCCCACCAGAATCAACGTGATGTTGGTTCGATACCAAATTGGATGGGATCGTCGCGCGCCGGAGGTTACCAAGGATAATAAGGATCCTCCA